CGTGTGTAGCCAGCAGCCAGCGTGAGCGGCCAGCAGCCACAGTGAGCGGCCGTCCAGAAGCCGGCGACTGATCTGCCTCGCCTGGGAAGAGTACAATGATGGTGCCAACTTGGGCCAGTGAAGCAACGTCCTCCACAACTAGACTGAAGACCAAAACGACAGCAACTTGTCTGTTTCCCTTCCCTAAATTCCCCAATAAAAATCTTAAAAAATAAATAAATAAATAAATAAATAAATAAATAAAATAGTGCTTGGCGGCCTCTGGGAAGCTGAGCCAACTCACCCCACTCCACTGCGTGTGAAATTGAACTTTTGAACTGGGTTAAAACAAATGACTACTTCTAGATACAGGTCCTGGAACAGGCTTTGCATCATTAAACTTTCTCAAATATGTTTTTCACCTAGCAATAGACATTAGCAATTATGTAGCATAGTGTAAGTCCACTTGCAGGCACCAGTCCCAGTTCTTTCAAAACAACTTATATAAGCTTTTTGAAAGCTCCCCTTTTTCTGTCTTTTTAAACTCTGTCTCTTTCCCCCTCAGAACACAGTTCAGAGCCAAATCTGTGTCTGAATTGCTCTTTGTAAGACCCCCCAAATAAAGCTTTTGTTTGCCTTGAAGTTCTTGGTCAAAACTGATCGACATTTTCAGCATAGCCTTCTCACACTTTGTAATTGTAAATGTTTTTCTCTTATTTCTTTGTTAAACAGCTACAAACCAACCTTAAAGGACCAATTGTTGCTTTAATCTGCCCCAATTCCCTTTTTAAGTGACACATAAATTATTTAATATTTAAATGAGGTTTAAATTAATGTGGGCCAGGAGCTGTGATTTGGTTGACCCCACTGAAACTAACTGTTCTTTTTCCTGATCAGCTTGGCTCACTATTAGCATTTATTGCTGTGTAACAAATGGCCACAAACTTAGTTGCATAAAATGACATATTTATCATCCCATAATTTTTGTGAGTCAGGATTTGGCACAGTTTAGCTGTGTCCTGTACTCTAGAGTCTCAAGGTTGTAATCAATTTGTTTGCCAGGTGGCATTCTCATCTGGAGACTTCACTGGGGAAGATTGCACCTCCAAGCTCCCTCAAGTTGCAGAATTCATGTCTTCATGGTTGGTTACAGGACTGAGGTCGCTGTTTTCTTGCTGGTTATACTCGTAAGAGCTGCTCTACCTCTAGATGTGGGCTCCTGTCTCTAGATGTGGGAAACACAGCGTTAAACCTGTTGCCTGTTAAATCTGTCACTTCTGTTTCAAAGGGCCCAGGATGTATCTAAGTTTGTATGTTTTGTCTTTGTATATCATACATAGACAGTGCTTGCTTACTTCTTTTTCTCAGCTGCTTCACCTCTGAACCCCTAGAAATTTTGCTCACACCCCCCACCTCCACCCCTTCCCCCTGCTCTCCCTTGCAGGAACCACGGCCCTTTGCACTTCTATATAAATTTTAGAATCAGACCATCAATTTTTATTTATTTTTCTACCTATGTTCTCCAGTGAAATTGTCCTATACTTTTCCTTTCTTAGATGTTCTTATCTGTTTTTAGGATCAAGGCTATTTCCTATCATAGAATGAAGTAAGGAGAACTCTATTTTTTCTGTGCTTGGAAAGAATTTGTGTAAGATTGTGCTAATATGTTATTTCAGGTTTGGTTAAAATGACCTGTAACCCTATCTGAACCTGATGTTTATTTTGTGGGAAGATGTAAAACCTCTAATCCAACTTGCTTTATGGTTATAGGACTATTCAGGATTTCTATCTCTTCTTGAGTTCATTTTAATAAATGATAATTTTTCTAGAGATTTGTCCATTTTGTCTAACTTTAAATTTATTTCATGAAGTTGTTTATAGCTTTTTCTTATTATGTTTTAATCTCTGCTGGACATGTAATTGTTATGTCTTCCTTTTTCATTCCTAATATTTGTGTCTTCTCTATTTTTTTTAACTTTTAAAAAAATTTTTTTATTGAGGAGCAGCCACAGTCATTGGTTACACATTGCTTTCATGCTACAATGGCATAGTTGACTC